ATAGGAAGAGTTATATCAGTAAAAGGCATCTTTATACCAGTATAACCCACATTAGCATTTGCACCATTTTAACTATCAGAAAAAAAGTTACACCACTAAGGGCATGTCTACACCGTCCACGTTACAGTGCAGCAGTGCTGTGACATGGGCATTGTAGACACATTATCGCCAGGGAAGAGCTCTCCCGGCAATTAAAAAACAACAACAACAACAAAAAACAAAACAAAAAAACACCCCAAACTGCGCTCCTGGCGATAAAGCACTGTCTATACTGGCACTCTTCAGTGCTAAAACTTTTGTCGCACGGGGTGTGTGTGTGTTTTTTCACACCTCTGAACAACTACAGTTTTAGCGCTGAAAGTGACAGTGTAGACACAGCCTAACTAACAGTAAGTGCAAGCTCTTTGGAGTAGAACCCTGCGCAGATACAAAATGTGTGAGCACATCGATCCGCAAACATAGTCTGCAGATATCCCCAGATATAAAACGGATATCCATAGATTTGCAGGGCTCTACTTTGGGGCAATAGCCTGTCTTCCTACATGACTGCGAAGCACCTACCATGCCTTGGGGCCATGCATCAATAGGAGTCTGGGCTGCAGTTAACTTCACAATTTACGCTCACCTCACACCATGAGAAATCACCATAGCTTGGAACACCTAACAAAGAAAAAAACAGCAACTACACACACACACACACACAGAGCATCAGCACGCCTTAGAATCCAAACACTGCCTCCTTTGCTGGGAAGTAGCAGTTAGGCCAGTGTTTCTCAACCTGGGGGTCAAGAGACAGGTTTAGGAAGGGTTACAAGCAGGGCTGGCATTAGGGGGTAGGAAGCAGGGCAATTGCCTGGGGCCCCATGTCAAAGGGGACCCCACAAAGCTAATTTACATGTTTCAGCATGGGGCTGAAGCCCAAAGTTCGGAGCTTAAGGTGTGTGTGGGGGGGTGTCAATTTTTTCTAGCAGGAAGTAATGATCTATTTTTTCCCTTTTTCTTTTTAAATCCAAAGGGAGTCACCAGCATAAAAAGGTTGAGAAACACTGAGTTAGGCCTTCCCACTCACGAGAACCAGGCAGTACCAATTACAGTATTTCCACTTAGCTCATCATCAGTCTCACAGTGGCGTTTTGGTCTGTTGGGTTTTAATACCTCCTTGCAGCTAATATAATCCTGAAAGTTGGACTTCCCCAGTTGGGAAGCCAACCTGAAGAATAAAACTTAAGGCAGAGAGAAGTGGGAAGTACATCACATAGGGAGGTTGCTCTGGGTCTCAGAAGCTGGACTTCTGCTCCAGTTGAGACTTCTGCTCTCAGCTACGCTGCACCATTCTGCACCATTAGCATGTGGCAAAAAGTGCAGAAGGAACATGTTTAAGCTGTAAAACATCACGGATAGGGCCAGAGGTCCTCATTCAAAAAACAGGCAATAAAAGCCAAAGATTTCACAATTTTCTGCATCCGCCACACTATGCAGCTATATATTTTAAAATATTGTTAATTCCAACCGATGTAGGTATACGTGTAAGATGCACTTCCTGGGAGATTACCGAAATCCCTGCAATAGGGCTGCATTCTCTGTCAGTGGGTGCATTGGGAGGGTTAAGAGATGCATACGATTTCACCAAGTAGGACGTGAAAACAACCTGGTCAAACAAGGTAATACAGTGCAACCCCTGTTTATCTGAAATGTTTCTGGGACAGCAAAAGCATTTGGATAATTGAGAGAGTTAGCCAATTCATGTGGAGGGTGAGGGTGGACAGAGATCCTGAGAAAAGGGAGTTTTGCGTTAAAGGAAACAGTGTAATACTGAGCTGTAAATGTAGAAATGTTTACTTCAAGGATGAAATAGACGTCAGTTTTGATGGTCCAGACGCTTGAAATACTCATCCACAATGTTCTAGATAACAGAAATTACAACACTTCCTGTTTTTAACCTCAAAATAGTTGACTCTACCTTGAAAGCAAGAGGTGCTCAAGCTAAATTTTCCACCTAAAACAGTTTTTCAGATAAGGCTCACCTCAGTTTTGATCACAAAAAGCCACCACCACACAACAAAGTGAACTTTGGCGAAGCGTTGCTCTTCAGTTTAGATGATCAGTTTAGGATGGCTGATAGTTCTCTGCTCAAGAGAAACCAAGGGTGGAAATGGTACAAGTAAGTCTTGGAGGTCAGGATTTAGCTGAGTTGGCAGAGTTGCATGGAAAAGGATTCCATACAAACCCCCTACCCTGCGCTCTGATGCTGTTATCTTCTTAAAAGCACAAGATGACACCAAAGTGAAAAAGCAGCAAGAGATGGAGATACACTATAGTTTGCCTTCCTTGGTTTCAGTTCTCTGACACATCTCCACAACTCCCTCTTAACACTGCCAGAGATAAATTCTTATTTTATTGATAATTCAGATTACTGCCAACTCTCCAGTCCTCCAGTTTTAACGGAAGCAGATGACTGAAATCTTGGCTCTGAATTGTGTTCTGCTTTTGCCTTTCTTTATTATGCACCACAATAGTCTACTTGCAAACCCCCCCCCCCCCCCGCCCAAAAGAAAACAGGGAAGGACATAGATAAAGAAGCCTAGATAATTGAGAGCCAGTCCAAAGTGTCAGAGTCAGAGATCTGAATTCTCATTATCCAGCCATACACACAGGGATAAGGGAAGCAGAAGCTTTATTTTTATGCTTCAGCAATTTAAAGTTGAGGCAGCTGAAGAGAGATCATGGAAACAGCTTTACATCAATCATGCTTAAATGTCAGCCAAATTTAGTTATTTTGAAGAAATTGTTAAGAACACAAAATGAATGAATGTTATGAGACCAGTTAATAGAAACAGAGGGAGCCTCTCCCCATTTTGAAGTCGCATGCCTGCTCATTTGAAGGCACCTACGAAGAAAAGTCTATTAATTCTAAGGAGCACGAGGGCACGCAGTGAGACCACGTCCAACTTCATCCCTGTTGTAACTCCACTGACATAAGGCATGGATTAGTAGTCAAAGGGTTCAGCTAGGGCCCTCTTGGCCACACGATGCACAAGTGTATGTACAGTACACAATTCCACACCTCCCTGCGCTTCATTAGCAGGGGGGACACAACCACATAGTGGTCTCTGGACTGGGAGGGAAGCCCATTTTTTAAATACTTTTTTTTTGGACAAGGGTAAGGGGAAGATTAAGTAGCACATGGCTGCTACAGTGCATCCACCACTAAGAATGAATCAGACTTCATGGAGCGAAGGCTGTTATTAGGACAGAAGTCCAAGACCTTTCAGACTGCCCGGTCACCCCCTTGCCAGGCCTATCTAATGCAGCACGTGTGTGCATGTAGTTATCCTACCCATTAAATCAGTTAGCAAGTCACACAGGGTTTTGTCCTGCAATGATTCTCAGCACCTCATGGGACCCAGCCCAGAAGAACAGCAGCACCCCACCTCTCCCTTAATGAATCACATTCAAACAGATCCTCTCCTTGTTCTAAAAAAAAAAAAAAAAAAGTCAGGTATAACACAAAGCAATGAATAATTACCCTCTGCTATTATACAACCTGCCTCAACTGTACTCTTGAAAGAATACTCTTTACAAATAAGGTAAAAAAAACACCTTTTGATTCCCCTTATGCAATTAAACAGAACACTTGAAGGGATCCTGGCTGCACAGCCAGACCCTTCTTTTCTCCACAAATTAACTCCAAAAAAAATCACTGACTGTGGGAAGCTCCCATCTACAACAGGTCTCAACTCACAAAGACCAGGGAGAAAAAAAAAAAGAGGTTCGATTGGTGCATTCTTATGAGCTGTTTCCTAAATTCAGCTTGGGGAGGCAATTTGCTCACTAGTTGTCACCTCTCACAAACACACCCCTGAAAGAGCAAACCACAACCACCTCACAAAGCACCTTGAGCTGCATCAAATGAATGAGGCACTTGAGACAGAGGTAACCCCTTGGGTCTGAGACCTAATAAGGGCATAGGGAGATACTGAGTGAGCATGGAAGTGGGATCTTCCATCCCTGAGAAACCCAAGGAAGGACTAGATGTGATATGGAACAGCAGAGAAGGCAAGGAGATTCAGAGCAGGGGGCCATTTCCCTTGCCCGGTCAAAGCCCCCATCATTCATCATGGATTGATGAGGCAATTAATATGTGGGAGAGGAAGAAGAGATGGAAATGCTCCCTGCTTCAAACTGCTCATACACACCATAGGGGATAGATCAATCCACAGCCCTCTCCTTCCCATTTCAGGGAGATTGTGTTGAGGGTGGGACATTAAGGGGACACAGAGCCACTCCTGCATCATCACTCATTGGCCTTTGGATATAAGAACTAGAGAGAGAGCTCTCTCATTCCTGCAGCATGCCTCTCTTTCACCATGGGAGCATTACAGGGTTCTACAAGTGTCCCTGCACCCACTCTAGGGTGGGGGGATTAGGAAGATACACAGGGGTCTATAGATCTGTGCACAGAGCAGACCTATAGTAGTCTCTCCCTTACCAGTCTCCATACCTCATTCACCAGGGACAGCAGTTAGTGATGAAGTACTGGGGTCATGGGTACACATACAGAGGTTATCTCTGACCTGCACCACCTCCCTTCCGTTCTGTTCACCATGGAACAGTAGAGTATGGGAGACATGTAGGGAGCTCCTGGGTGGTGGATATTTAGGCACATATAGGAGATTCTGTAGGAGTCCCCTGCCTTCCTGCTCCACATCCCCCAGCACAGGGAGGGCCAGGTGGATACGTAAGGACCCAAGAAAGGTGCATATCGATCTATAGAGAAGAGGCAGGCTCCCACCCCTCACTTTAACATAGGAAGCATAGGGTAGAGATCTATAGGAAAAGGCGTATTACCCACCCCATAGCCCCATAGTCACTGCTTGCTCTATGTACCCCATACGGTGCAGAGAACCCCTCTCCTGCCCCCCAGCATGCCCTCCCCTCAGTAAAACATGGAATCCCGCCCGCCCGCCCTCCCGTGAGGTAGGAGCCCCCCAGCCCCCTACCTGCTCCGTGTCTCTCTCATTCACGGTGGGGAGGGGGCTCCGGCCGCTGCTCGACATCTTGCCCCCCCCTTGGCCAGCGGCTCCTGGGGCTCCGGCAGTTCCTGGGGCTCAGGCCGGGGCTCTCCTCACACCGCTGGGGGGCGGCCAAGCCACCACCATGGGGGAGCCCCAGGGGGAAGGGGGGACTCAGGGAGCCGGAGGGCGCCGGTGCTCGGACATGGGTCTCCGCCGGGCCGCGGTGAGGGAAGCCCGGCCCGATGGCTCAGGCGAACCCGGGGATGAGGCGCAGGGACCAGGCCGCGCCGCCGGGAACCGGGCGTGCGCGTAGGCGAAGGCTGTGCGGAGCCGGGGCTAAGGAGATCCGGAGGCCGAATGCCCCCGGCCAAGCCGCCTTCTCCGCCCCGAGATCCGGCTCCCCTCAGCGCATCTCACACTCACACAGCAGCAGCTCCCAACATGGCCGCCACCGCCGGCCTTCGGCCATTTCCGCCCCCGTCCGGAAACATCCGAGTCACCCGCCAGAGCCAGTTTCCGCCGGTTCCGGAAACACCAGCCCCCTTGCAACCTGCCGCCTCCTCACGGAAACACTCGACTCGCCCTCCCTCACCATCGCCAGCTCCCGCCTCCTTCCGGAAATAACCGAGACGGCGGGCGCAGCCCCTTTCACGGTCGGTCATTTCCGCCTCCTTCCGGAGAAATCCGAAGTTCAACTCCAGGGCAGCGATCGGACATTTCCAGACGATCGCCCGAGAGTACCCGAAGGCTGAAGATCGGCCGTTTCCGGAAAACTTCCCGCCCCCCCCGCTGACGCATCCCACGGCAATTTCCGGAAAGCAACGAAAATAGCCGAAGAAGCTTCGGTTCTTTCCGCCTTCCCACGGCGAGTAGTACCCGAGCCCGGGGACGAAAGCAGGCGGAGCCGCCCAGCTTCGGCTATTCCCGCCACTTTCCGTAAATAGAGTCTGAGCTTGCATCTGAAGGGGGTCATTTTCCCGTGAGGAGCGGAGTAGTGGGACCGGGTGGGGGAGAGAATAAATCACCCGTCCGGGCAACTGGGCGTGCAAATGTGTACACGTGGATGCACACCTGGTTGTGCAAACATGCACAAGCGTGCATGCACACCTGGGCACATATACCTGCAAATGCATCTACATAGGCACACATGGTAGGGCTGCAAGCACACACCTCCAAACCCCAGTGCCCAGCCATAGATGTGCATGCATTTCATAGAATCATAGAACTGGAAGGGACCTCCAGAGGTCATTTAGCCCACTCCCCTGCACTCAGGGCAGTATTAAGTATGTGACAGGCGTTTGTCCAACCTGCTCTTAAAAATCCCCAATGATGGAGATTCCACAACCGCCCTAGGCAATTTATTCCAGTGCTTAACCAGTGCTTTGCACCCCCATCTAAACCTGCGCCCCCTGGAGACACAAGACTCACCTGCACGCACTCCCTCCCAGCCCCATGCACACCCGTGCGTCTCTTCCCTCACGCACCTACAACCAGCCCTCACGGAAACACAGGGTCCCCTTCCCCTCCCAGTGTCCTCCGTGCGTGGGGGGGCTGGTGCTAAACCCCCCCCCCCCCCCCCCCCCCCGGGGGGGGGGGGGGGGGCGCCCCCCCCCCCCCCCCCCCAGGCGCACGGTGCTGATCGGAAGACTTATTTTCCCATATGCTCAGACCCCGCCTTCTCTGCTATTGCTGCTAGAGTCTCATTACCCAGCTACATGGGCTAGTACAACAACTATAGCTTGGGACTGAAGTGCGCCAGCAGCGGCACCTGCTGGTCAGAGGTAGACCTGCAGTTAGTGGGCCCGCAGCTCATGGCCACGAGCAAAGGCTGATGCGCTCGGGATGACGCTGGCGCTTGGGGGCGCTCAGAACCCCACTCAGCGTCCTCGAGATGCGATGGGAGCAGGCTGCTGGCAACGACGTCCAGCGCCCCAGTTAGCCCACGAGCACGAGGAATTCGTTGGGGGGGGGAGGTGAGCACACACACACGCCCTCGCATGACCTGCACACAGCTACAGCTGCATGCACACACACACAGTTGCATGCATACACATGCACATCCGTGCAAACACACATGTGCAAACAGGGCCGGCTCCAGGCACCAGCTTCTCAAGCAGGTGTTTGGGGCGGCCGTTCCGGACAGGGGCGGCAGTTCCAGGTATTCGGCGGCAATTTGGCAGACGGTCCCTCACTCCGCCTGGGAGTGAAGGACCTCCCGCCGAATTGCCGCCGCAGATCGCGATCGCGTCTTTTTTTAGATCGCGATCGCGGCTTTTTTTTTTTTTTTTTTGGTTTTGACTGCTTGGGGCGGCCAAAACCCTGGAGCCGGCCCTGTGTGCAAACACACATCTGCTTGCACGGCTATGTGTATGCACTTAGACACTCCTACCCTGAGTCACAGCTGCCTACACACACCTGTGCATCTTGACATGCAAACACATCCACACGATGGCCCAGTTGCATGCAGACATTCACACCTACGTGCACACACTTGTGCAACATCCCTTCACCCACACACACACTAGAGCAGCGGTTCTCAAACTGTAGGTCACGATTCCATTTTAATGGGGTCACCAGAGCTGGCTTAGACTTGCTGGGGCCCAGGTCCGAAGCCAAAACCCGAGCCCCACCACCTGAGGCTGAAGCCGAAGCCTGAGGGTTTCAGCGCTGTGTGATGGGACTCAGGTTACAGGCCCCCCTCTACCCCCCGCCTGGGTCTTCAACTTTGCGCCCTCACCACCCCACACCTTCCCGCCACCCAGATCAGTGGGGCTTAGAGGGCTCAGTCTTCAGTTCCCCCTCCTGGGGCATGTCGTAATTTTTATTGTCAGAAGGAGGTCGCAGTGCAATTAAGTTTGAGAACCCCTGCACTAGAGAATGCTCATATACCGCTTGGCCAACATTAGCACAGTCAACATAGACTGGCTGATGCTTGCATTTGTGGATCATTCCAAAATGTGGGTCTCTGTTGGTCTCCCGAACTAAATACCCTGTAAAGAGGGTAGAGATTCCAACCAGAGGGAGCTAACAAGGAAGCAAGTTGATCCCTTAGTGGGGTGCAGCACCAGGTGGATTATTGAAACTGTTGTGTTCAAAACACCATGACACATTCCACACTGCAGCAGAGCTACACGCTGACTCTCTGCTTAGCAGCTTGGCACACAGCACCTAATCAGCAATGGGGGACTCCTGTTTGGGGCCAGCTCCCCGGGGATCCCTACCCAGATTTAATGGGTAACACACCAAGCAAAGTTTTCAACCTGCCAGTTGAGGGCCCCAGGCATGAACAGAGTTTCATGTCACACCTGAATGTCAGCCCAGAATCACACAGAGTGGGGAATTATTCTATGCAGCTTTATTGTTGTTCTGTGTATCTCAGGATCGTGTGGACCAAAATCAGGGTCCCCATTGTGCCAGAGGCTGCACAGACCCCCAACTGAAATCACAGCCTCATAGTAAAGGCAGCCTGGGCTTAAAATCTAAACAGACAAAGGTTGGGAGGAGTTATGTAGGCCCGAAGAGGGTAGGGCCCTTGCCTGAGGTTAGTGTCAGAGCTGGGAACAGATCCCAAGCATCCTGAGTCCCAGCCCAGTGCTCTGCCCACTGGGACACACTATTCTCCATGGCTGTGGTTTGCAAGCCTATAGGCAAAAGGACACAGTCACAGCCAGGGCTTGGACCCAAGAGTCCTGGCTCCCAGCAGCCCACGTTTAATTGCAGCTAGGGCTCATTGAGCCAGACTGACCTGCTTGGAAGGGGGTTACATTGGCTTTCTGCTCCTCTCCCAAACTCCTGAGTCCTGGGGCTGGTGCCAGGTACAAGGAATGCCCGATAGCAGCCAACTGGGTGCATGGGGTGGTGCAGAAAATTATCTCCCCCCATCCCTCCGCAGCTTCCAAGGCAGCGGGGAATATGCAATATGGGGGCAGGAGACTACTCCACTCACCCTGCCAGCAGGGGGCACTGTTGCTCTCCACTAGCAACACCTGCCAAGATTTTAAGGGAACTGGGGAAATGCAGGTCACAAAGGCACTAGTCCCCATTTACTGGAGGACCAATTGCAGGATGGCCAGCCAGTGGCAAGCAGTGCCCACTGGCTCTATGCCCACCTAACATGTTGGGGCTTGCTCGGGAACAAGGGGCAGGGCTCAGGAGTGACTGGAGTGGGTGATTTATGGCGGGGCAGCAGAGAGAATTGTCCCTGTGCAGAGATGCTGTCCCGATCTATGCCCCACGGCTGCTGCAGGGCATGGAACACACAGCCTCCTGCCATTCCTGTTCACATAAGTGGGGTGCCCCACATAGCTGGGGGCACACAGTTTCCCAGGCACCCTCTAACCAGTCAGTTGGCAACAGCAGTTCTTACTAGCAACTGGAGCCTGGAGTGGGGGACAGGGGACAGGTTAGGGGAGAAAAGAGGCACGGGTTGCCTTGGAGGGGGTGCATTGGTGCCCGGGTCCATGGCAGTGCCCGGAGGAAGCGACGCAGCATTCTCCAGTGGCTCCGACGCTGGCCCGGGAGTCTGGGCTGTGGGAGGGGTGTGGGGTCTAGTGAGTTTGAGCAGGGAGGATGCAGGGCCTGGCACAAAGGGGCCTCAGCCTTGGGGCAGAGGGGTCTGTGTGGCGGTACAGTAACACAGGTGCCAAGTAGCAGAACCATGGCTGATTGGGGAAGGTGGGGAGATTTCTGTGCCAGAGACCGGAGGGTTGAACTAAAAACTCAGTCAGGTGTCAGCAAACAGCATGTGTGTGACTGGCAGGCTGGGCCCAGCAAGGCTGGACTGGAAATGCAAGAGGAGGATAAGGGGGGCGGGGGAAGCTGACCACAGGTGAGGGGTGCAGCAGAAGGCAGCCTAAAGGTGGGGGGGCAGCAGAAAGCTGCCCACGGGATGGGGGAGACTTCAGAAGGCAGCCCACAGGAGGAGGGGGGAACACCTAGAGGGGAGCACAAGGCATTTAATGGGCTAGGGCCCAATTGGGGGGCAGCAGAAGGCAGCACATAGCCTTGGGGGCAGCAAAAGGCAGCCCGCAGCTGGGGGGAGGAGTGGAAGGGAACCTGCAGGCTGGGAGGAGAGTGGAGGGCAGCAGAAGGCAGCCCGCAGACTGGGGGGAGGAGAGGGGAGTGTAAGGGAGCTCGGAGGGTGAGGGGCAGCAGAAGGGAACCTGCAGGCTGGGGTGAGGAGGGGGGAGTGTAAGGGAACCTGCGGGCTGTAGGGAGGTGGGGGGCTGTGGGTCAGGATCCCCCCCCAGCTCTGCCTTAAAGTAGGAGTTTCTACCTATAAAGCCCCATGGAGGGCAGGAGGGAGGTGCTGTGGGGGCCAGATACATGATCAGGTGAGGAAGGCAGGGAGCTACTCTGCCATTAACCCTTCATTGTCTTGTCCCCATCACCCAGCAACCCCCTGGCTGCTGGACTGAGTGCCTGGGTTGCGGGGGAGGGGAAAGGGAGGGAGCTGGGAGG